CACCTTCCTCTGACTGTAAACAGGGTGAATATGTGCAGAAAACCTCTGCAGCCTCTTGTAAATGATGCTCTTCGCAACTAAGAAGAAATGATCGACAGGCATGGAGTTTTTTGGGGTGGGGGTTAAGGTGTTGACCATCGGTTTTATGCACATGATGGACAGCCTGAATCAATTTAATGTGCAGTGTCAGCGTCGGGTCTACTGTAGACTGTGTTGACTGATGCTTTCGATCACAGGAAGCAGCTCCATGTCTGAAACACTTCCAGTAGCAGCAGTGGCAGCAATTACAATAAATCTCAGTTTCTCCTCCGATTATCTGCCCAGCCGAGAAGGGAAACCATTAACGCTCCCCACCGTCTGCTTCTCGGTGCACATGTTAATTTGACAGAAAACACAATTGTGTCACCAGCCACGTGGAACATGTTTTCTCATGCCTAACCAGCCGGAGTGGTCATGGCTGTTGAACTGGTGACGTGCCTGTTGGGGCACACGCTAATTGGATAAAATCTGGTGTCAGCATTTCATTCATAGGTGGAAGTTCTCCCAGCATCCACCTGCCTCTAACTCCCAACCTCTTTGTGTTTTTTGCTGAATTTTAGACTTAGTCATTGTGAATTTATTGGTGCTGTTTGTGTAAGCGAGAGAGTGAGTGAAGGGGGATTGAGTAGTTGTCAGTATGTGGGGCAGGTGCAGTTTGGCTCCTGGGGGACTGTAATGGGATGAGGCCCAGCCAGAATGAGTGTTTGATGACGGGGTTGCACTCCTCCCCTGGGACTCTGCCTGCATGCAATTATCCTTCTGATCCCTTCTCTCTCCTCCAGTCTGCAGCCTAAATTGTACACAGCGACCGCTCCTCACTGCTACTGCCTGGATATTCTTTAATTTACAATCTAAAATTCAACCCCCTTGTATGCTAAAAGATCAAGTAATTACAGCCCAAAAATTCAAAGCAGTATTGGAGTAATTACTGTTTTATGGCACCCTCCAGCATGGCATTACACTACCTCCGGGCAATTGAATTTACAAACGCCTCCCTCTCCTCCCCTGCTAATTGCTTTATTAATGGAGAGCTTGGCACCCTGAATCAGTCTGTCTCACCCGTAATAACATTTTATGTCTCTGCTCTCCACCCACTGCCACACATATCCAACTGGAAACAAATATTTCTTTAAAGATTGCAATGTTTCCAAAAGGATTTCAGAATCTAAATGCTCTTGTTTTCGCAATAAGTCTTCCAGTTGAGAAAGACAAAACCCTTCCTTCTGTGATATGCAAATGGCGTCTTCTGTAAAACATCTCCATCTTGTTTATTAGCTCTCAAAAGCAAGAACTGTTGTGCTGTCATTATTTTCTTCAGTGCATACTTTCCAAGCCCACTGAAACATTTATTAGCACCAAACTAGATTTTATATCACCCACAGTAATGAGGCAGGGAAACAGTGACGCCGTATAAGGGCTACAGACCAGCCGTATGCGGAGTGAGAATTGGATCGTCCACCATGAGACGAAGAGGAAGAAGATTGCTTCATCCAATTGTTTTTCCTTCATAGAACTGGTTTCCTACAGTTGCATGTGAGGTAATCTATCACAGGTCCTTCCAGTTCCCCTCCCCCATATCACATTACATTGACAGCTTCATACCCTGCTCTCCACAGCGTGCTCATATCGTGCTTGTATCACACACAGACAAAGGAGAGGAGGAGAGGCTGATAAGATTTAACACGATATTCTCATTGCTGGCTTTGCCTTGAAACCTGGACAAAATGATGACAGATATTATTTTTTCAGATATTAAGGGGAAAATATTTTACAGCTTATACTGTGTATTGATCTTCTGCACATCGTTTTTTCTTCACATGATAACCATAAAACATACACAACCTGCAGTGACCGTGCTCTTAGGGCAGAAACTACATAATTGATTCATCTGCAGATTAGTTTCTGAATAATTTAATTAACCATTTGGACTATTTAACATCAGAAAATGGTCATCATAGTTTCCCAGAGCTCAAAGTGACTGACTGTCCAAAACCAAAGATATTAAATATTTAATATGATAAGACAACAAAAAGCAGCAAATGTTCACATTTGAGAAGCTTAAACAAAAAAAAACATAAACCATTAATAAATTATCAAAATAATTGCTGATTAAATGACGAAGCTCTTCTTTATTTTGTTCTTTTTAGTTTTACCAATATGTACAGCAGTCTCAAACAAATCAACCCCCTCCCTCTCCTCATGTGCCAAAATACAACAGTGTTTCTGCAACCGCAGCAGCTCACTGGAGTGTCTGACAGTGCAGTTTTCATGGGATGTCCTGAAGAGGACAATGGGAATTTCTGTCATCCTGTTTCATCCACAAGCTGCACCAACATTTCACAGAACTCAGTAGAAACATTACACTTCTCCTTTCATAACAAAGCATCCTCATTTCACTCACAGCCTCACTGCGAAAAAAACTAACAAATGAAAGCATCAATCCCTTTTTCCTCTGTGCATGCCTGATGATGGCGGCCACTGATCATCTCTCTGAGTGGGACACAGGTGTGCAGAGGGGCCCTCCTGCCTCTGTGATCCGTCACCAAGGCCAGACAAGGGCCAGGCTGAAGCGGCTTAGGCACGTGCCGAGGGAGGGCCACCCCGCCCCTCAGAGGACTCCCTATTCACACCACCAGATGGGGGCTGGATCTGAGTTTTAATGAATGCTATCCTTCACGACCCTTTAGAAGCCACAGAACAACAGTCGCCCTCAGCACGTCTCACTGCGGTTTGTTACCCCACGCCGCCAGAGAACAATAATATACTGGGCAGGATAAAAAAAACATGACGAGAAGAGAAAATATGTTTCACATTCAAGTCTGATATTTTCCTCACTTGGAGGAAGACAGAAATGCTACATATTCCCACAAATACTAAATTTACCGTTCAAGAGATTAGATGCTACTTCAGTTAACAGATTTAAAAGACGTCTCTGAGCAAACATCTCGCGTTGTGGGCTGGTGGTAGATATTATGCGGCTGTGTCAACCTCCTGCTGTGTGAGGTGATACAATAACACAACCCTCTAATTTTACCTTTCAGGTCAAGAGCAGAAAGCAATTTGTTCACATTTATAAGTCAAAAGAACTGGTTGGTAAATGGTTGGTTGCTTTATGAGAGGGGTGGTCTTAATACTTAACAAGTGAGGAAAGAGAAATGTTATTTATAGTCAAATAATGCAGCGCCATGTCAAAGGAAACTAAAGATTCTTCAGCATAATAACGTTGATAGTATTGAGCTTTTCTTTTTTGTTAGCAGTTGTCAGACTATAGTATTTATTCCTTATAAATAATGGTTTATTTATGGTTTTCACTTAGTATAGATACAGGCCTAGATACAGGACTTTAATTTGAAGTCAGTAACACATCTGATCTTCACCATGGCTGCTTACCCACACTGCCAGTTATGTGTAAGGCTGTGAAGAAGAGTGAGAAACACAAAATCTAAAAATGAAAACACTCCGTCAGTGTTCAGTCCCAAATGCTAAATAATAATGTGCTGCTTGGTAACACGTAGAGGATGAAAAGTCACATTATTTTGCTGAATAAACTCAATAAATGTCTCTTTTATTTGTCCCTAAATCATTTTTCATACATTCTCACATTCTTCAGTACCCAACTGGATAAAGAGCGATCTACATTAAAGATCTAGAGTTTGAATATAACACAGAAGCAGGTGAGATCCGCTCAATCACTGTTGGTTCACATTCAGCCAGATGCATATGTTCTTCATTGGTTGGAAATAAATTGGTTGTGTACATGCTGCCCCTTACTCAGTGACCCTTGTCTGTCTCTATGTGAATTGCTTTCATGGCGTGTTAAACGAGCCGTGCTCGTGTTGGTGTTTCCCTCCACAAGGCGGCCGGTCTCTAATCCGCTGTCTGCCAGAGTTATGTCACACACCAGCTATTGTGGAGGGTTTGATTGAAGACGCCTGATCTAACTAACTGATTCCTCGCCGCAGAGGTGCTCTGACACATGGGCGACATCTGAGATGTGTGAATTGGCAGGCGAGTCACATGACTGGCATTAAGCCAATCAAAATTTTTAGATTCAGACCCCCGGGTGCAGCTTTATGGTGAAAAAGGCAATACTGACAGATGAGACAGTGACAGTGAGAATGATTTTTAGGTGTGTACAGCTAGAAAGGGTTGGATTGGATCACACAATGCTTTTGCTTTATTTGCTAACTGCAGTTTCTCTACAGCTCCTTTAAAGCAATTTATTATAAAAACCAAGTTTACAATGTAGAAATAATGTTCAGATTATGTTTTCAGGACCTCATTAAAACAGCACATCCAGAATGATTTGGTAGTAAGGTGCAATTTATGATGTTAAATGAAGCCTTGAATCTCCAGAGAGCAATTTATAAAGCGGTAACTATTCACTGCCTGACAGTTACTTTCAGATTTAATTCAGGTCTCGACTGCGACCATCTGTCCAAAAACCCTGTAAATCTGTACATTTTTTAACAAACATCTGATTGAACTGAGATTTTTTTAAAAATTATACATTTCCTTAAAGGTGCTTGGATACAATTACACAAGAGTGTTTATACTGTGAAAGAAACGTCATCAGTTACATTGTTAGGATTTTTTTCCTATCCTACAAATGTATCCAGTCTGTGTTAGTCTACAATTATATTTCACAAGTTGATAAAAGTGCAGCATTCAGTCGTTTTTATACTGAAAAACCTGAAGCCGTTGTTCAATATTAATGTTGATGATACCAAATTATTATTTTTTTAAACCTCCCTCTGTTAGAACATATACATGTTTTTCTACTTTTTTTTTTCATTTAACAAAAAAAATAACGTTTTAGATGAAACCGAAGCAGCTCAACCAGAATTTCGCCCAAATAATACATATTAAAAAAAGGCAAAATTAGGATTGAAACTAACCAGAAGTAAGAAGAATATGAATCACTGACATCTTCCAATAATCACTACTACGGACACCTTTTGTTTGGTATGAAAAAAGTAAAGATGTTTAATACCCAGCCTTATTCAAACATTGCACCAAGATACATCCGGCTATATTTAGTCTATCTCCTTCAGCACTAAAGAACTCCAAAGACTGACAGTCAGTTGTTGAATGCTGACAGGAGGTCTCCCCACACACTCAAACCTCTGACATCAAAGTCTCCATCAGCAATGTTCAAAGCATTTAGCTCTCTTTCTACATCCTCCCTCAGAGGGGGACAGGCCTCAAACAAGGCCAGAAAGCACTCAGTCAGTTTCTGGAAGGACACCGTTCGCTTTGTGCTGGTCTGAACCCATTCACCTTCCCTCATACTGTACTCCATATCAGAGGCCCACTTTTTCAGCACATCGCAGTACGCGTCTCTAAATTCCAGGTGTTCTTTGGCCAGGTCTATCAGAAGTGCAGTGGGCAGTGCAGAACACATGAGCTGAAGCACACTGTGTTTTCTACGCAGCCAGTCCAACAGAAAACCCTGTGAAGCAGTTTGTGCAGCCGGGTTCTTCGTTGTCAGCAGAGCTGCAGCGATGACCAGACAGAAATGTTCTGCCGCTCCTTCACATCCCTGGAGGACAGAGTCTAAAAAGTGCTCCGCCCGGCAGGCTTCACCGCCCCGGCTCAGCAGAGCACCAAGCCTCTCCATCAACATCACCCCCTGAACCTCAGCATCAGCACCGACCGCTGACACGTCTGTGAAAGGACTCAGGACTTTACATGCAGATTTGCACTGAATGATGTGGTTGCAGAAGCCGGTGACATCCTGGTACTCGCTCTGCTTGGTGTTTGCAGGACTCCAAGTGTCAAACAGTGTCTTCATGATGGAGACGGGCAGCTCAGGGTTGTTCAACAGCCCAACAAGCAACAGGTGCTGACACCGGGACAGGTCCGAGAAGGAGACCTCGGTGTATTCAGGGAAGGCAGCTCCCAAACTTTGATTTGTGAGCTGCAGCTGCTTCTCCATAACCCCCCTCATCGTGGGATTACTGTGGAACCTGGAGAAGAGGTGTTCGCAGTAGCGGGCCCAGTGAAAAGCTCTGGACAGAGTCTGTTTGTCCCACTGCTCCACCACACCGCTGTGCGCCGCCGCGGCCAGCAGCTCCGCCGCGCTCGCCAGGTTCTTCAGCACCGCCTCCATGTGGCGCTCTCTGCGTTCAGAGTCCGCCGGCGGGCACTCACTGTGGAGGAAACACACAACGTTTACCCACACTGTCCTCTGCTGCCGAACGACTGCTGAAAACGGCCCTGAGATAGTTAGCTACAGGTCAGCCACAGGTCAGCTACAGTCCAACAACCTAAAGTCAACAAACTAACACTTAAAACGGGACTTCCGGTGGCACGTTTCAAAACAAAATTATTTTTTCAACAAACATGGTTTTAAGTAACACCGGGCGTTACGCACACAAGTGAATACAACACATTTAAAGGCGTATTTAGTGGAAATAAACATAGATACTGTTCTCACTCACTTGTTTTTGACTCTTCTGTCGTCCGGATGCCCGTTTGTGCCGCTTTTACCACTGCGCATGCGTTCTGCAGTGTTCAGATTTGGCCAACGTATTTTCCTTCAAAATAAAAGCCTTATTGGCATAAACTGTGCAGAACTGGGACGAAACTAACTCAGTAAACACACATTTTCTTTTCATTATTATCTTCTGGGTAACATACATATTTATGTAGGTAATACTATTGTAAAAAGCCCGTCTAGGATTCGAAAAAAACTTTCATGCATGTATTTCTTACAACAGAGTTATTCATAATTTAGGTATTTTGATTGTGTCTGCTTCATAATGATCGTCATGAATTTATTTTCAACTGCTGTTTTCTACGGTGTCATTCTGCAGATTACATAGGCACACACTGGAAAAAAAGAAATCCATTAAATCAGTGAATCAAAGGATTGAATTTTTCAGGCTGACCTGCTGAATTGAGTCCAGAAATGTCATATTGAGGCAACACAATGAGGCGAGAGGCGGGAGGCTCTGCCAGCAGGATCAAACTTCCCTCCCATCAGCAGCAGCAGCGTGCTGTGGGTGTACTTGTGTGTGTGCTTGTGTGCAGTCAGATCCCTGTGCAAATGCGCAGTGAGAAAGACCTCCCCAGCCCAGATTGGTTCAGTGCTTTGGAGCCTAACCTGTGGGTCGGTGCACCGCTGTGAAAAGCATGAAAACTGGGATCCAGCAGCTCACAGGACGAGTGAGAGAAAGGTGCGCACCAACGAGCTGAACCCTCAGGGTGAGCACAGATAAAGAGCTTTTTTTTTTTTTGGACTCATGCAAGACATTTTTGCAGCTTTGCTATTTCCAAATGAATGTCAGACGTTTGAGTGTCTTTATGCATATTCTATTTTAGACTGGGGGTGTTACTTGTACTTTATATCCCCTGTCTGGTCTCACCAGGGATATGAGCTTTGCAGAATAATGTCAGCTTATTAAAAGTTGGGGCTCAGTGATATCTCACTTCTTTACTCTTAAACAGCTGCAAATTCTTGCTTTTGTATTTGTCTCAAATGTAATTCAAAACAAATTTAATTACACAGAATCTGACATATTTTCTTCACTTGCAGCTCTGAGTTATTTCATTGGTTTTAATTAGTGGCTGCTCAGCTGGATCTCAGTCATAACTCATCAGGCTTCCTCCCTTGATCCTATTTCCAGAGTAGTGAAATGTCTGTTGTGGCTGTTTTTATTTGTGACAGTTGTAAAGAAGGAGACAGCTTTAAAATCTTATTACAGTTGTAAATGAAATGTGCTGCTGAGGTTTTTAAGAGGCCAGTGCAACACAGTCCGAAACCTGTTTATTGCACTAAATTCAGACATAGCACCAGATCTGTATGGTAGGATAAGGTATATCTGTCAGTATTTCCTGTCATTATTGTTTGTCTGAAATTCAGTTTGTTGATGCTGACAATGTTTAACCTAGAGCTGTCTTTAAATGAAGGCCTGAGGCAGCCTATTAGATGGTGAAATTATTAAGGCAGTGTAGTATCATAGCTCAGGATTTATGATAATCCATGTGGTGCTCTAATAAACACTAGTCACAGGAATGTGTGCATATGATATTGTTATCAAGCTTTGTGCTGTAGGCTTTTTGTGTTATTGGATGTTATATTATACAGGAGAATATTCTGCTTTTGTTGTAATTTTCTGCTGGAGACTTTGTACTTTGTTGACAATGTGATACCTGAATACAGCACAGATACAGTACTTATCTGCAGTAAAAAACATGCTGAGTACCCTTGTTTAAATGGACAAATCAGCCTCCAGATCAGTTTACTGTTGTAGAGGAGAAAGGCATGAAGTTTGACGAGGATTGGGAGGACAGAGCCACTCTTGTTTTTTCTAATTGATGTGATTCAGCAGTCGAAATTCCCACCCATATGCCTTGGAGCATTCTGCAGCAACCATGGCGGGTTATGACGGCTTTACTGAAGTCATGAGGCTTTTCAGACTGGGAAAATGTACATATGGATATCTCTGAACCTTTGGGCTACAAAGTTCATCTTTTCTGATTCTAATCCCGGGTCTTCTGTCAGATTCTGGAAATATAATAACTAGATGAGGCAGCAAGTTTAGCAGAAGGTACATGATACTGTACATAAAGCCTAGTAGAGTGGTTGTGTTGGCTGTGTTTTGGCCTACAGCTGAAGAGGTCAGGCTACAGTGTGGTGAGAGTAAGCAGGTATGTTTAACAACAGCTGGTTGTTTCTTTAGGACTATTTCCTGGGAAAAGAGGGGGAAACCCAGTAGAATTTTTGTTCATGATTCTGTCAATAAATCATGAATGATTCACATCACTGACAGATGTTTACTCATAATTACTGATTATTAAGCATTTTTCAGCTAATCCGAAGTGTGTTTAAATTATTTATTTAGCCTAAGTAGTAGGAGACTTGTTTTAACACAGAAGGGAATCCTACTACAGTTTCTCTGGGAAATTTGTTTAATATACAGTGTATTAAAAACTATGTGTGAAAAATATTTAAGATAACATTGTCCTCGTGCTACAAATTATTTTATTTTAAGTATTTTTTATGTTGGCCAGTGACAGATATGTCAAATACCCATGTTGTTATTTACATAGGACACCAGTGAATGGGCTTGTATGAATGGGTCTTGTATTGTGAGACATGAGAAGTTGTCCCAGTACCCTTGTTCTGCCTGTCAGCCTGCACCACAGTGGACATGGGAATGTAGCACCTGTGTGTAAGTGCTGAGCTCCAGGGTTTAGTGTGTGTACGCAACGAGGAGCTCTTGTCTTCAGGAAGATAAGACAACCTTGGTCGGACATCAAGGTCCTGATGTCCAGTGTTGCACCGCAGTGTGATTTGGTTACAGCCAACTCCAGGGAGACCTTGAAATGTTACATAGCTTTAAAGGTCAGATTCCTCACATTGTGTTACACTCCCTCGGTATTCGGTGGAAATCTTCAGCCATCACAGACTGTGAGCTAATTGTTCATGGCAGTTTTGCTTCCTTGTTTGAATAAGCCCTTCTTATAATTTACATATAATATTTGCCTATATGGGAAATGTAGGATAATCCTGCTTGTGTCCAAGCAGGAGGCACAACTATTTATATGTGACAACATGACTGATTGATTCATTATTGCTTTATATTCAACCCACTTTCTGTTTCTTTAATTCAGCCTTAATGTATGTTAAAGAATTTAACAACGACAAAGAAACAGAAATGATACAGTAGAACAAAAAAATCATATCACCAATCAATGTTGTCAAATCAGTAACAATAGAAATGTTGGGGCACCTTGGTAGATCACCTGGTAGAGCACATACCACATATCAAAGCTGAGTCCTTACTGCAGTGGTCTGGTTCCAGTCCGAGTCCAGTCTGGGTCCAGTCTGAATCCCCTCTCTCTCCCCTGCCTTTCCTGTCTCTCTCTATCGTCACTGACATAAAGGTGAAATGCTAATATATACTATATACACACTGCATATACAGTAAAAGTTCAATATAGCCTTAGCTTTTATTTGCTTCTACCACTGAACCGAACTGTATTTGGAACAGGCGTCTATATAAGACAGAAGTTTATTTTACACAAAACTCTGTAATGATGGAAAACGCTATCAGATTGTTAATTTAAACCAGTATGAATATTACTCATAAATAACTTATCAATTAAAAATCATTAATTTAATCATTTCATACTTTGGTGCTCACTGTTCTCATAAAATGAACATGTTTAAACATTTCTATTTGTGTAGGCGAAGCAGCCTAACAGCTCAAAACTCTCTCCAAACTCTTTCCACATTTGTCAAATATATTTATCAAAATGTGTAGCCACACTGGGCTAGTAAAGGGGACCTGCCTTTAACTGGGAACCTGCTTTTAATTGAAGTTTTACGGCATATATATAGAACAATAGAAAAGTTAATGTGTCTCTCAGCTCAAGTACTCCCATCTGGTGCATTATGAACCCGAACACAGTTTTTAAACTCTCTTAAGTCCCTTGATTATAGAGTTGTTACGATACTGATACCAGTATTAGAAATTCCTCTGATACTACACTGATCCAATACCACAAAATTTATTAGCCCTGGAAAGGGGGCTCTGGTACTTCCCAGCAATGTCCCATTTGCTGCTTTATTTCTCAAGATAGTGAAGTCATGACCATATCTTAAACCTGAGGCCATACAACAATGAGAGCAATCATATAGGCTTAGTAGTATATGCTTCAGATTGGTACTTGGTATTAGCTGATACACAAAGTTTAGGTATTGTATCAGGAAGGAAAAAATGGTATTGGAACATCTTTACTTGATTACATGACTATAACAGCATTTGAAGTAATGTAAGCTTTAAAGCTTTGTGATGACACATCTCTAAGCCTTGAAGTTTGTCTTCTCTATGTCCGCACACTCTTTCTATGTCAGAGTGAGTTAATCGCAGCACCCGTGCTTGTAAACTGTGAATTTTAACATTGTAATACCAACTGATGGAGTGATACTGGACTGAAATAGCTCATATAGTGAACACTTAAAGCATACCGTAGCGTGTTATTGGAAAAGACTGTGAGAAATGTTTCATTTACTCAATGACTTCACTTTAAAGACAGTAAATAGCTGTTGAATATTGATGTCGATTGCAGTCTCTCCACCAGACTGTAATGTAAGGCCTTCTGCAGTGTCGACTGGATTGGATTGATTTAGACTGTGTTATAGACTGTATCATAGATTGCAGTGTAATCTGAAGGAGCTCTTTGTTTGCCTATGCTGTTTGTTGAATAAAAGTGCTACTGTATGAGTCTGGCTCGTATAAAAGTGTCTGTTGTGCAGTGAAGAGGCAGACAGGAACTCTGCTGTCGGGGTCCATGACAACGTCTAATGTCATCAGGTGGACTGAAAACCAAACCAGGATTTGGCCAAAAGGACAAAGACACTCACATCTCTTGTATTCATTTGATCCTCCTTTATTCCTGTTGAAAACATTGGGCCTGAATGTCAGCTGTTATTGATGAATATTGTCATAATAGTTACATATCGATCGGTTTCAGCTTATCAAATATGAGGATTTACTGGTTTCTTCTGTTCTATGTCACCGTTAAATATGTGAATATCTTTGAGTTTTAACTATTGGTTGGTGACAATAAGACATTTGAAGACACCACTCTGCAAATTATACAAATTATACATTTTGGGCGATTAATCAAGAAAATAAATGGCAGATTCATAGATACTAAAAATAATTGTTAGTTACTTACTTTACTGATTACTTTATTGTGTCCATTTCCATATTGATAAACAACAGACACATTGGAGGTGTACATTGTGTCACTTTCTGTGTCCTGTCCTCCTCCTCTCCTTCCTCAGGCCGTATAGGGAACCATGTGCAGCTCCCTGAGCCCCAAACAGCCCAGTGGCCCCGGTCTCACAGACATGCAGCAGTATCACCAGTGGCTGGCCAGTCGACATGAAGCCAGTCTGCTGCCCATGAAGGAAGACCTGGCCCTGTGGCTGACTAATATTCTAGGTAAGCAGTGTAAACATCTGACCTTATTCTGGCAATCCTGCCTTCCTCAGTTTTACATTTCTGTTAATGACTACTTTAGTGTATTTTAAATGATCTAGACTCCGATAAACAATATATAATTGATTTACGTGGCCAACGTGGGCTACCTCTCATTGAAATGTTTATTTTAATCTGTTGGTATTAAACAAGTTGTACAAGAATATATTTCAATGTTTTAACTAGTTATATTTCAGATTGTTGCACTGTAGTGACTCAATTTATGGTAAATTATTTATTTCCTACAAATGTTGCTGACTTTCCTAACAAATACAAAGTACTGTTGCTGATTCATTCAAAACACTGTCCCAGAAATTGCTCGGCTTTGAAAAATGTTCTTATCTTTCACATTAATTGAACTGGTATTGCTGATGTAAACACGTCTGCAGGGGACTGGAAACAATCTGAACCTCATTACACACTATTTTAAAGTCCCTAGAATGTGTGACTGAGTTTCCGTGTTCACACACTCTCCCATAGATTTGCCTTAATTGAATAATGGGTGTCATTAAGCGTTCTCAGATAATTCACAGCCAGTGCTGGCAGCAGAGGGATCCTCAGCAGAAGCTTTGTGCAAGGTTGCTACAATAAATCACCCTGTGTAGTGTACTTCTTCAGTAGCGCAGTCACAAACCAGATGCATGAAGCACTCTGAGGCTCTGATTTAAAATTAGTGACTTAAATTTTATTGGGTGTGTATGAAGAAAGTTAGGTTTCAAGTTAACACATGATAGACGCACTATGGTTTATTTGAGAATTGAAAAAAACTATATTTGATAACTAAAACAGTTATCAATAACTAAACTAAAACAGTTATCAGTAGTAAAAAGACAAAGTTAAATATTTCCATATGGTCTTCTATGAATACAATGTCGACACAAAAATCTACTTGTTTCCTCCACCAGAGTAGGTTACAATGTAAGAACCTGTATTTAATCAGCATTTTAAGATTTGTTAAAGACTGTATAGTCTTTAAGAAGAGGGGCAGTCCGTCCTCATTATTAAAGGTTTTTCTTCTAAATTTGCTTTTGAACTGTGTGAAGCTGCACTTGGTTAAAATACATTTAACATTGTTCACCTAATGACTGGAAGTTACTCCATGGGACATCCTGCAGGATGTATACAGTCCAAGAATCATTTCTCAGATCAACTGGAAGCCAATTAAGTTCCTGAAACTGAACCTTGCCTGTGTGTAAACAACTAAAAACAACTTCACTATCTTACCTTTTATCTCCGGTGCTCTGTGTGTTTGCACTGGAACCAGCTGAGCTAGAAACCTCTCGTTTGATGTGGTGAGGGATCAAGGTCAAAACGGACTTCAGAAGCACAGGCATCCACATGTTTCCAGTAAATACACAGTATTTGTTGGTTTAAGCCCAATATTCTGTGTGTTCAGCAGTGCTGTAGTCAAGACCACCTTTGTCGAGTCCAAGACCCAGGACTAGTCGCCGACTGAATCAAGACTAAGTCCAGATGAGGAGAGACACAATTCAGCTCCGAGACATACAATAAGTTTGTCACCTGTCCATTAGATAGATAGCTAGATAGATAGAGTAGATAGATAGATAGATAGATAGATCGATAGAGAGATACGATACGATAATAGACTTAGATAGATAGTAGATAGATAGATACTTTATTGATCCCGCAGGACATTTATGCTCAGCAGAGTTTACAGTTTCAGGTGGGAGGAGTGGCGTGGTGTAACGATGAGTCCACTGATTGAGTGGGAAGCGGATCCTCGGTTAAACTGATGAGTCATATTGTTGTTGTGATGGGAGGCTGGAGGGACTGAGCAATTTATATGACTGAGTGTGTTTGAGTTGAAATGTTTCTCTGAGAGCCCTCTGGAATATATTTTCCTCATGCAGCGAGGAGCGAGTGAGAGTCTGAGCACAGAAGACGGGAGCTCACTGAGCATTTCTCAAGATTTCAATCTCTCTCTCTTTTCTGGGCTCACTTACAACATTTGGAACTCATTAAACGTTGAAACCCCCAGACCCCTCCTCCTATAAGAAACAGAAAGGGGATTTAAAAAAATCTCTCCGGTTTCTTTCCACAGACACCCCCCTGCCACCACCTCCTATTTCACAATGATCTAACTAAGAAGGAATGGTCCTCTGGAAGTCAGTCAACTGGACACCACATGTTGATCACCAATCTATTTTTGCAACTGTGCATGATAATGAGGCATTACTGTGCACAATCAGATGCCCCATTTTCGTGTGACCATGTCTTTGCCAACCCATGGTGTACTACCAGAAAATCCCCCCAGATTCCCCCAAGTCATGCTGTAATATTTAAAAAATTTGGCTTCTGCATAAAACTGGCAGCACAAGCCAAGCTCAATCAGCCAAGCGGTTTCTGCGAGTCAATAACATCGCACCAGGTTCAGCTTCAACTGGGAATGGACTGGAGATTACATTTTATTTCCTTAGACTGTACATATATTCTAAAATGAGCATTTCTATGTTGAATTTATTGCCGAATTCTCTGCTTTCTTTATATGTCCCTTGGTCAGGTCTGGAAATCACCGCTGAGAGCTTCATGGATCGCTTAGACAATGGCTTCCTGTTGTGCCAGCTGGCTGAGACACTACAGGAGAAATTCAGGCAAAGTAATGGAGACCTGCCTGCTCTTGGCAATAGCAAGGTACAGAGAAACCTGATGATTACAGTAGTCTGGCATGATAACGGTTACAGTGAAAACACAAATCTGTGTTCCTGGACTAACTTTGAGTTTGAATGATTCGACAGAGGATTGATTCTGAGAGGGGAACCATCATTCAGGCAGTAACTTATTAGATCATTTTGACAGACAATCACTATGGTCTTGACTATTATTAAGTCTCCTGACTACTATCAACAATTCTTCTGCTTGATTAGACAAGAATATGAAATCCAGCACTGGCTGTGTTTGTATTGCCACATAATTGTTCCCTTGACATGTTTTTCTGTATATTTTATTGGGACCAGACTACTTAAAGACAACAATGTGAAGTTTTATTGATTCTCACTGAGACAGGAAACAACTATACCCTACATTTCCCTCAATAAAATCAATAAAACATAGAGAGTCTCTCCCATCTCTAAGAAGAATTAATACCATTACCTTTGGAGAGTAATAGAGAAACCGAGAGACACTAAGTAGAATTTTGTTTGATATCCAATCTGCCCGTAGATCTTACATGTTTATTGGTTTTGTCAGCTCAGCAGCAACCATGAATCCCAAGTTTGCAAGGAGGTCCACAATTTCAGAAAGCAGTGCACACAGGGTGGGATTGGGGGATGGGGCCTGCAGCCTTCAGCAGGGCAAAAAAGAAAAAATCAGGCTTGCAAGGACACATTAACTGATGGGGCCCCACATCGCCTGTGAGAATTGGCAGAACTACGTTAAATGTTCATTTCTTGTGAGCCTTGAGTGAGGCTTTAATGAATTTTGTGAGATTAAAGGGTAACCTTGTATGTAATTATCTGTTATTTAACCCAAGCAATCTGCGCAGTCGTATATTTTACTAGGTCAGTGCTCAAGAAAACAAACTGATTGGGGTTCAGATCCTTAGATTGTATCAGGTTCAGAGCCACTGCTACAGGTTTGATGTCTTGAGCGAATTACTGACAAATATATTATTATTTCCACTTGTGCCCAGTCTGTCCATAAAAAAGTCAACAGTAACATTTGGCTCCTTAATAGTCTCCAGTGCTGAATATGACAAAAGCATTATCTTGCAGACATGAATGCATTTTTTAACACCTACTTACTTACACATTGAGCTTACGTCTGGTGCTCAGTGGGATTACATGTTTCCAACAGAGGGAAACACTGATTAAGGCATGTTTCTGTTCAGAGGACAAGAAGCCAAAGACTCTTTTGTTGGCCTTTCCGTAAGAGTTGTTGATGTTTGCACTGAGGCATTACTGTGCTGATGACGGTGGGTCTCCTGATCTCAGTATGAGTGTAGCAGCACAGATGTGAGGAAATACTTGAGGTCAGTGACCGTGGGACGGCAGAGGAGCCACTGAAATAGAGGATCCTATTGATCGCATAGGCCAACAGAGAGACACAGTCTGAGACAGACAGAGAGAGCTGACCTGTAACTCAGGCTTTAAAATCAAACAAAGTTGTATTATAATGTTTTATAGTGAGCATGATTTATTGCTGTTTGTCCGCGTTAAAGCTCCTCACAACGCACATTCAGCGGTCTCAGTTGAATGAGCCATGAGATTAATCACCTTCTCCATGCCTGATACACAGTCTCATCTTATGTAATTTTAAGTTTATAACTCATGTGAAACAATTGTTGCTTTAGCAGGCTATCATGGCATTACATAAAGTGTAGTTCTTTACTGTTTTGTGTTACCACTTTAAAGAAAACTTCCATCTGCTTTGAAGCTTCATTATAAGTTGGTGTGTGGAGTCGGGCTAAGTGATTCCAGCAGAGAGAAACAATAAATGCCTTTGTAGATGCTGTCTTCCCACGTGTTTACATCAATCAGTATCAACTGCAGATGAGCGAAGATGATATTTCTTTCTTGTCATATCCCTGCTGTGTGCCAAATTCAATACCACCACCTCATTAATGGAAATGTAAAACAAAAGTTTAACATTTTGGGAAATATGCTGGTTTGCTTTGTGACGAAGAGTTACATGAAAAGATTGATGCAGTATCACTCCCAAATCTTTGAATGTGAAGCTACAGCCAGCACTCTTAGCTTAGCTTAGCACAAAAACTGGAAAAGATGGAAAAAGCTAGCCTGGCTCTGTCCAAGGATAACAAAGTCTACCTACAACACGTCTGATTAACACATTATATATGGTTTTGTTTAATGCATAAAATAACTGAGGTATAAAAACAACCATTGACCATTTTACAGGTGTTTTGACTTCAAGTTACTGCGTCAGGAAAAAACCCCTAAACTTTAGAGGTGCTAGTAGACTGGCTGTTTCCAGTATTTATGCTAAGCTAAGCTAACTGTATCTTCATGTTGAGCAAACAGATGTGATAGTGGTATAATCTTTTTATCTAACTCTCAGCAAAAAGGCAAATAAAAGTACTTCCCCAAAAATGTCACCCAATGTTACCCAAAATGTCAAACTGTTCCTTTAAATTGCACATGTACAGCTGTGAAGGTCGAGATGCTGCAGGTCTACATAAATCATAAAGTTTATCGTCTTTCCGAGTGAAGAAAATTATGGGATTTTCGAGAGAAGTACTTCCTTATACTTATTATTGGTTCCCATCCCTTTAAGCATAATGTCTTCCAAAAGTTTTATACCTTCTGTGCATTTATTAGACATGTAAAGGTGCAGATAATTCAGCAAGCCACCACAGCAATAATAACATGTCACTCTGATTGTTAGATCAAACGGCACTGGCAATGTGGCCGACATTATTTCTCCAGGAATTTAACAACAGAAAGGATTCCAGAAAAAGTCAAAAGGAGAGCCTGGAAAGAAAAGAAAAATACCCACAAAAGCCTGCATATTTCCAGCATGAGTTCATTGCACCTTTCTCATAGCACAGACGCACATATCCTGTATAAAACCACAGCAAGGCGCATAAATCTCCCCTAACAGACCGTGTGGGGGCTGAAACCCTTAAGCATGTCATTTGATCCCAAATCATAGAAGGCCTGGTAAAGTAGCCCTGGTTTTCTAACCCGCCATCTCCTATATTGATCTGTACGGAAAAGGTCCTTGATCCTGAGTTGAAACCAGAGCCTCAGCAGATGGAGAAGAAATCAGTGTAGATAAAGAGTGTGTGGCTCTATGTTTTGATGGAAATTCAGGGGGTGGGGCTGCATGGACAAGTCACCGTGGTGGACATTTGATTTCTCTTTGTCACACACAAAATAAAGTTTCATGTTCAGTTCAGTGTCTAAGTACTATAGGGGATATTCTTCATCTTAGGTTCATTTCTGTCTAGCCTACATGAAGACATCTGCTGACCTCTCTATGTCTCCAGCAGAGTATTCCCTATCAGAGGATACCATGTCGGCAGAGCGCTCCCTCCGGTTCCTTTTTTGCACGGGACAACACAGCCAACTTCCTGGCCTGGTGTCGTAAGGTTGGAGTTGGAGAAACATGTCTGTTTGAGTCCGAGGACTTAGGTGAGTGTACTCTTTTTCTGCCATCTGAATGCTAGAAAACAAGGTGGTCTGTAAACAGGCTTCAGTTTCCTCGCAGTGACACAGTTTGGCCGTCCCTGGCACTGCCGGGGCATTGGACTCAGATTTCTCTCTCCTGTGAATGGCGTGATTGTGCAGGTAGAGTATCAGACAGGTTGGACTGCTTCCCTCTCCTTCCCCTCTGAGGCTCAGGAGACTCACATCTCCAGGCTGCTTTGACATCCACACAAAGCTCACAAGGGCAGCAGTCTGCTGGGAGCAGCTTTACCTGACCATGAGGACATGTGCATCTCGAATACTGTGCTCATGCACAAAATGTCTGGTGTAAAACAAAGGGAGCACAGACAGAAGGGTGTGAGTTAGTGAGAAAGTAGGCCAACGCTATGCAAATGTTTTCCTCAGCCCAGAATAGGGACATTTTGCTCTCTTCCTCATTCTCCCTCAGTGTTTTATCTATGTCTCTCTATCTATTGCAAGGATTTTTTGTGTGTTATGTCACTGAAATATGCTTGCAGTTAAGATATGCAAGAATGAAATATTGTCTCTACAATGAGATGTACAGTATGTGACCCTGCCAGGGACAGAAATACCTAGAGTATTCGTACATTCCTATCATTTCTGACTAATGTCTGGTTGACCGTCGCAAAGCAATTTAAACTACGCAAATCATTTTTTAAGGCCAAGTTACAGACACAGTAATCTATCAACACTGCACTATCACATGCAGTGGACATGTAATTATGTATACATCTTGTGAAAATACTTCAGAAAACAGTAACAGCTGACACCTGTCTTCTTTCTTTCTTTCTTTCTTTCTTTCTTCCTTTATTCCTCTGGATGGACTTATCAGTTCAGCAGTAGATGTAACAACACCAGGTTTGCTATCATGCAGTGGATATTTTGTCTATAATGCATGGTGTGGTGTGTCACATATATCATACATTTTGCATCCACTCTCGCTGTGTGGTCATAGATTCAGTGAAATGAACACCTCAAGCATATATAGATATATATATACATCCCAAGTCTGAAGAAAACTCATTTTCATTTTATTTTGGATGGACAGGATTGAAGAGGAGAGGAACCTTTTAAATGCATGAGCTCATTTTATGTGCCTCTTACCATCACACAGTCACTAATCATCACTCATTGCCTTTTTCCAGATACCATACAGTGTATATATTCTGTGATTACCAAATGCTAAAACTTGATCTCTTCCTGTAGTTCTTCACAAGCAGCCACGAGAAGTGTGTCTCTGTCTTTTGGAGTTGGGAAGGATAGCATCACGGTATGGTCTTGGTTTTTCTATTTTGTTTTTCTTGTTTATTCTAGTTAATCTAACTATTTTTCCCATATACGTCTTTTGGTTGTTATATACATATTTTCTTAGTTCCACACTTATGGAATTACATTACTCTTTGTCTGCTTGGTACAGATACAACGTGGAGCCTCCTGGCCTTATAAAACTGGAGAAAGAGATTGAACAAGAGGAGAAAGCACCTCTACCACCTCCATCACCTGTTTCCCCAGCTCCACCCCTCCCTCCATCTCCCTCCTCATCTCTCACCCCGTCTCCTTCCCCATCTCCGACTCCTACCAAAGTCACTTCCAGCAAGAAAAGCACAGGGAAGCTGTTGGATGACGCTGTAAGTTAGAAGTAGCTGGTTTTGCTTCTACTTTTGATATCAGGGGGAAAACATTTGCAATATATTAATCTTTTGTGTGTTACAGGTAAGACACATCGCTGATGACCCCCCCTGCAGATGTCCAAATAAATTCTGTGTAGAGAGACAATCACAGGGTCGATACCGCGTTGGGGAGAAGATGCTATTCATCCGGGTGAGTTTAGGTTTCGATGTATTCAGCATCTGGTGCTGAAAATGTTTTCATTTTTGAACAATGGTCTAAGAAATATTCAAATTCTTTATAGAGTCCAATGCAAAAATACAATAGAAAGGTGTTCAATTCAAAAAAAGGTCTAGTTTCTCTGTCTGAGTGTTATTATAAGTATATTATTGACATATACGCAGTATTTTATTGTTGAGGGAGCTCCAGGTGTCATATGTTATATGTTTTCTCATCTACTACTACTACTACTACTACTACTCTCAGGTGTACTTGTACACATTTCAGAGACTATTTTTATTGCACTATATTTATTTGACAGCTACAGTTAGTTACTGTAGTGACTTTACAGATTAATATTTTACATACAAATCCTGTATCAACATAATCTAGCCATTTCATTTATCCAGGAGTATAAATAAAAACTGCAGAAATAGGCTTCACTTTGACCAGCAGCAGCATAAAATGTTTTATGTATACTGTTTATATTATCAATGCATCAGTGGTAATAATCCAACACTTTTATCTATAATACTTTTTACAGGCAATAATCTTTCTGTCCTTCAGTTGCTTAAACATTTTGAATGGAAGACCTGGAATGGAAGGATGCACAAGATGTTGTATGCACAGAGTACAGTTACAGTATGTGAGATACACCATTTGAAAAGACTTTTACTTGTAATGGAGTATTTTAACTCGTGGTATAATAAGACTTTTACACCACTGTACTTTATATACGGTCTACTACTATTATATTACGGTATACTGCAAATGTTGAATAAAAAGAACAAACTTTTTCCTCTGAAATGTAGTAAAGTAAAAGTATAAAGTGGGTAATAATCAAGCAAAGTGCAAGTATCAATAAACTGAACTGCAGGTTAAAAAATAGAAAAAGGTTAATTGTGTTTTCCTACTCTTTGTGTTTAAGTGGGTTGATATATTTTACAACATAACACAAGGATAGAGAAAAACTCACAAAAATGACACAGGTTCATATTTTTGCTTATTAAATTTCAACCATTTTATTAATTTTCAAATTGATTTGGGGTTAATAAAAATAGGTTCTCACATTGCAGTGCAGACCTCTCTCCATTCACACAGCATATGGTAGCACGTTGATACTTGGGGCTGGCTTTGGGATGAAAGTAATCCATTGTGTCTGGAAAGCCCGCCTTTGCTGTGAGGTCTCATTTACTGGTAATGGTATTCCGACAATGTCCATCTTCAGCCAAACATAATGTGGCTCGCTGGCTGCAAAAGGAAAATAACACCCACACATTTCCATACAATCTGATGACCAAGTTATTACTATGAAAATATATTACATGGCTATGTGACCCAATACTGGCCATTGCATTAGTTACACCTTATAATAACATTGAATCCATCAGCCCAGGAAATGTTACTTGACTTTCTGTGAGTCGAGGGGTAAATGGTATTGGAGAAAGACAAATGGAGGCTAACACAGATTAGAGAAGTAGCATCGGTTCCCTTGGGATCCTGGTTACTTGGCAACCTACAACCAGGATTCACACCTCTAAGAATGTGAGTCATGCCGCCTGTACGTTCAGGATGTGAAGACGTTTAAAAGAGAGTTTACTCTTGGGTGTCCTCTGCTGTCAGCACACTATATTGCAACTACTAATGTAAAATCTCAACCAAATCAAATCATCAAGTCATTGTAAGGTTTGAATGAATAAAGCTGTTTTTAAATATTAGTGTCGACAATAAGACTCTAATTTCTTGCTAGAATAACATCAACAGCAAAACAACATAAATTTGAATATTTATTAAATCAAATCATCATTTGATGCCTTTTCAGCAACGAGGTTTCAGTCTTCATTGTGTTGCTGAGCAACCAAGGACAAATGGTGAGAAGCTCACAGTGTTGAGCCAATGCAGTCTGCTGTACATGTCATCAAGTACAAATTTGCCTCAAAGGGCTTTACAATCTTTACAGGATATATATCTTACAGAATATGACTCTGTTTGCTTAGACCCTTGATTTGAATGAGAAACCCCCCCAGAAAAACCCTTTAATAGGGAACAAAATCAAGGATGCAATAGATGTTGTATGCACAGAGTAGACAGAATGAACAGTTGTAAAATAACACAAAAATGACATGTGTTATCATGTGTACTAGTCACAGTTACAGTATGTAAGATACATAACTTGAACAGGCCAAAGCAAGTGTTAAACCTCTACTACTCTGTCTCTCAGCCAGCGCTCTTCACAGTCAATATGCTTTAATTAAAATTCCTCAGATGCTTTTACCCCATAGCAGCTAATTCCACTGAAAAGGAGTCTTAAGGCATGAATACATTAAGGCCAAGTCACTGTCTGTAGGCAGCTGTGGAGCGTGGAGGACAACAGTGGCATGCAGCACCTTGGTAGCACAAATAAGAGTATGCTCCACAATTATCTGTATGTGCCTGAGAGACTGACCTTCTCAGCTCCTGGAATAAATGAGGTGGTTGTAGCCTTAACAAGGGGTCAGAGTAACATCACAGTGTTTGTGAGAAGTGCTGTCCAAGCTCAGCCCTCCGGCCTCTGTCCTTTTCTGGGCTGCTGTGGAAGGAATGAGCCCTAAGAAGGGTCTTGTCCCAAAGCAGCGTGATTGAAACCCCTCTGCATCACACAGGTCCATTAAATCCACAGTCACAAAGCCTGAAGGCCTGGCGCTAGTGATTGGAAGCACTGCCCCACCAGTGCCCTCTTGATTGATTCTTCTAAGAGGCTTATAAATGTTGAATGTTATGCTGCTGGAGGGCAGGAAGCCTCATATGTGGCAGACTGAGGTGACAATCTCATGAGGTAGTTCACCCTTTAAACGATTTAGTTTGGTATTTGTCTGAATCATTCTCTTCTATTTGTATTTTTATAGCAGTTATAGCGTCTTAAAAGTCTTAATAATAACCTGTTCATTCACAGTATCTTCTGAGAAGGGCATTTGGTAAAAAAGCTTGTTTTAGTGGAGGTGTAATGCCATGTTAATGAGGTTGGGGGTAATAAGGCAGACATGTTTTATGTCCACAGTGTCTGGCGAATGCGAGTGTCTGAGCACTCAGTATATCAGAGCCTTTTATTTCTTCTTCTCTTTATTATAATGGCCGATGTTGCCATGGTACCCAACCCTGAGAATGTGCCCTGATGTGGCAGGGGGCATCATTTTGAAGCAAATGTTGCAGATTGAACGATGAAAAAACACTGAATATAATTCCTTGGTTAAGCGGATCATATACTGTATTTTAGTGATGAAATAACATATTTTTTTAGCAATGCTAGTGGCCTGACTCTGGGGATGGCAATGGCAGTCCATATGTCAGTCGGTCCACCACTTTGGTCCAGTCCCATTGTGGGACTATTAAAGGAATATCTTATTTTATCTTTTATCTTTATCTTAACTATTTAGATGGACTACCATGACATTTTGTAAAGACTTTCAGGCTAAATCATACGCCATCAGCAGGTTGACATTTTTCTTTCTTAGTGAAAAGTCTTGGCAATTATTGGATAGATTGCAATTATGTTTGGTACAGACATAGTCCCCAGAGGATGACACCCTTATGGCTTTGGTGGCCCCTTGACTTTTTTCCTTTAGCGCCACCAGCAGGTCAAAAGGTTCATTTAGCCTGTGAAATATCTCAATCTCTCACAAGATAAATGGATTGGTACAAATTTTTTTACAGACATTCATGGTTCCCTGATGATGTATCCTAAGGACTGTAGAGATGCCCCGACTTTCCTTAAAGTGTCACCTAAGTTAGCAACTGTTTGAACTTTCATGGAATTTGGTTCAGACATTCATGCCCTGATAAATTGTAATAACTTTGGTGATTTCCTGCCTTTAATGTTGCGCCATTATCAGGTCAAAATTGTTGTGTCGAATACTTCGGTTTATGCAATTAGCATGCTAATTAGTCAGGGATAGTAAACATTGAACATCATGCCTCCATTAGCATTTAGCATGTAAACTCTCGGAGAGCATGCATTGCTATAGACTGTTGTAGTTCCAGACATCAAACAGTGACATGAATCAATCTTTCTGTTCTTGGCCACGGCCTGCTCAACATGGCATTAGGCTGGTAAGAGATGGAGAAAGCTTCCCTCTAGGGACCTCAACTAGTCCGAGGCCCCCAACATCAATCAACTGCCCTGTACATCAAAGCCATGCTTAACCATTCGTTCAACTTCTGCCTGAGAACCAAAGCCTCAATCAGTGAAATGACATTAGTCCTAAAGAAGGAAGGGATCAGCAACAACCATAAAGCTCTTCTTTGACACACTGACATCAGAAGTGACACTATAATCCCATTTCTCTCCGCAGATGCTGCACAACAAGCATGTGATGGTGCGTGTGGGTGGAGGCTGGGAGACCTTTGAGAGCTACCTGCTGAAACACGACCCATGCCGCATGCTCCAAATCTCCCGGGTGGAGGGCAAGACGTCTCCCATCAGCAGCAGCAAGTCCCCCAACATCAAGGACCTCACCCCTGACAGCTACCTGGTGGTGGCAGCCCATTACCGCAGCAAAAAGTGAAAACATGAGACTGAAAGGACACGGAGGATGACTTGTTGCCATCCTTTACTGCCTAAGGACGCGGCTATGTAACATACCATTCTTGAACACATTACGGCTACAGACACAACTGCATTTGTGGAAGGCACACTTGTGTATTAGTGATGTTTTGGTTTTGTTTTCTTTGTCAAAGAGGATTCAGTAAATTAATGTTTGTGAATGGAATCACACTAGTAGGCCCTTAACAACGCGTTGTTTTACAAAACTGTTAACAGCTTTGAAAAAATGTGGCAATCATTACAGTATAATGAATTAACGAGGGTAGAAGTAAAGCTGTAAATTTTCTAATTGTATTTTAAGCAATGCAGTATATCACTTATAGTGGGTAGAATCTAGTTTTTAGCACACCTGCTCCTTCAGATAGCCAATCAGGCCTTCAGTACCTGGCTGTATTCATATGTGCTTAAACAAGAACTTTTTTAGGAGGATCTATTGGCAGAAATGGAATATAATATTCATAGGTATGTTTTTTCATTAGTGTATAATCACCTGAATAATCACCATATGTTTTTCTTACATTAAAATGAGCCTTCTTTATCTACACCGCAGGTTAGCCTTCTGTTTTGAACCGTCATGTTTCTACAGTAGCCCAGATCGGACAAACCAATAACTGACTCTAGATAGGACTGTTTACTGTTGCTTTTTGTGGCAACTATAGTTTCTCTCTTTGTTTGGAAGGGGAGGTTGAAGCGAGTGAGTTACAATCTGCAACTACACTGCTAGATGCCATTAACACCTACACACTGGTCCTTTAAGTAAGTGGTGAAGGTTTCAGGACATTTAAGAAGCCAATATTTCTCGTATGTGATGGTAAAAACCAAGTTTTCCAACATTTTCCTCCCCATTTTTAACCATCTGGCTGATATTGTTTTCCTGTTTTCCTATACTGTGGCTCTTATGGGCACCGCACTTAAGTTTAAAATTGAACACAAGCTATGAAGAAAAAGTGGAAAAGTTACTGTCCAAAGAAATGAAATAATAAATCTTGAAATAATAATATTCCTAGAAAACCAAACATTGTTCATAAAGTGTTAGGGCCTTTTTCTTTATGATTTATTTTTTTATCAGGCTGAGAAAATGAAGCAATGCTTAGGTTGTTTACATGTTGAATATTGTATGCAATGCATTTTTATACTGTTATAATTTGTAATAATCATTATTATGATCGCTCCTGTTTTCTATGTCTGTTGTAGGAACATGGACAATCACCTCTACAAGACGCATGTAGTCAAAAGCTTTGTTGATTTATGATTGATAATAATACAGTAGATTTACTCATCTCATTTATCTCAAACTTTTTTTCCCTGGAAAAATAATATGTGGGTTTTGTATGAGATCACTGGCTATGCTGAGTAACCCACAGGCTTGTATATAAAGTACGCAAGTCCAGTTTCTGTTTTTAGATGTACATTTTCAATAAATTCTCAAAACTTCACCATTTGAAACGTCTTTGTCCGTATATATTTTAATGTTTTCTGACTAAAAGCCCCAGAGGAGTCTGCTTCAGAATTAAACCCTCTGAAAGATAAATGTTCAACAGATGTGTCTACTGTACTGGTGTTTCTTTTTATATATATATATATATATATATATACTATATATCTCACCTGCAGTATGTTACATATTGTTACCACTGATCATTTTAACCAAATTTAATTCTTATCTCTTGAATCATTTTTCTATAAAACTGCAATTCTGCTCAAGAAATCCACACAAAAGTAGCAGAAATGTGATTTATTGTAGCAAATAACATTGGCTGGAGTTCCTGCTCTACAAAATGTTGAGAGCACCGGAAACATTTAAAGATCAAGTGAAGGCTGTAAGAAATGCACTCAATTAAGCAAGTAAAAGTAAATATTTCACTATGTACGGTACACACTTCACTTATTCTTTTCCTTCAGTTTCTTCCTGTTTCCATTCTAGTTGACATGAACCTCTCCCAACGTAAGAGTGTGAGAAAGCATATGCGCTGTTCACCAGATGTTGACAAACTATGTGCAAATAATGTCTAAGAAAAGCTTCTGTTTGTCATATGGTAATTCACAAACATGTTTCATATGTTATTTAAATTAAGCAGGCATCACACCAGTGTTTTGCATACATATTAATTCAATTCATCAAACGAAATTGTGCAGAGAAAACAAAATGGGGCTCTATTGAAGGAACAATGGTAAAGACCAGTCCGAGTGCTGCACCTCCTTTTCATTTTTACTGGTTTTAGTGTTGTTGTACAATATTCAGCAGTATCGTGTGGATGCTGTGTACAGGCTGGGTTGTCAAACAAACAACCCAGCTCAACATAATGTCCAAGACATGTATTTCATCAAAACATCAACACCCAGCGAAGACAAAGTGCTTCAGAAGTTCAGTAAATACCAACAAGTCATGGCGCTGTTTGCACTAGTCTTTGTGTTGCCAACAAACAGAGCCCTAAACAAGGTGAATTATATAATAAGGTGGTTATTACTGTTAACTAATCCTACAATAAGCACACTTAAATTATTCTGTAAACATAAACTTGTGAAATGTATTGTTTAAATAACGGATTTTTGGAGAAGTCATATAAAAAGTAACGTGGCTAATGTGGATTTACAGTGAATTGATCCTCAAGTATGAAAACCAGAAAGCAGAGTAGTGAAAAAGCTTAAGTGTTGAGGACAGCTTTGTCTTAATATGACAACAGTCACCAGAGACCCGGACTTTACAACCATATTCTTTAGTGTTGTCTAAAGTTAGACTGTCTAATCCCCATTGTTAAATAAAACTAATACAGTCGGACATGTATTTGCTTGCACATTTCTGTGTCATCCCTGACGTGTCCAAAGGTCCACACCAGCTTGTATAACTTGGCAACAAGAGAGCAGGTCCTGCTGTTCGGACTGTGATCACTTCAGATTGTTTTGCATAAAGCAATTGAAACCGTTTGTCTCATAACATCATAAAATAGGCAAAAAAAAAGAAAAAGAAAAATGGACAGCAGTTCAAGCATCTTTCACGTCACCTTGCAGCAATTATTCATGATGTTTCGGAGTCAAGACGAGAGATTTTCAGCCCACTTGCCACTAAAAAACAAAGAGAAAAACATAATCAGAACAATCTTTAGTCATTATAAAATAACTGTAGTTGGTAAATCAATATAATATCTATCAACATATGAGACTAGATGTCATCTTGTGTCATTCTGAAGTTACCTCTTACTGGGTTTAAGGTGACGAGATTACGGTTTGAGATGACAGCTGAATGATATATTTTAAAAAATGTTATGTAAAACACTAAATGCATCTACATGTTTACCAGTGGTCCCCACAATACAAGTGATCATTTACGGGATTTTCTATTTGGAAATATCCTCTGGAAGTCTTTAAACCTCACCAACAAATGACATTACCAATAAATATTTCTGCGCAAAATGACTTAAATATTCAATCTGTTAATATACAAATAACCAAATCAGTACTAGGTTTCAATAAAGTATCAAACTTGTCTTGCTTTGGTTCTAAAGATGTTTAAACTTATACATGGAAACTCTCAGTCTGTCAGAACCAATAGAACAAAGATTAAAACTTTTGACATGTCACTATCTGTACCTGCTTTTATTTATTTATTTATTTAAAATATATGTTGGGGCTTTTGCTGCCTTTAATCAATAATAACAGCTGAAGAGTGACACCTCTACCAGCTGAGCTACCTGGGCGCTCCTGTATGACTAAAGAGTGTTCACTGGACCTCAGGAATGACATTAATGACGCTCCTGTTGTTTTACGAAGCCTACAGCTTGAAGATGAACAAAAAAAAAATGAACCTTCAACCCGCCGCCGCCAGACACAGACGTGGTCATCGCCTGCTTCTCAATCTCTTCTTGTTTTTTCCTTTTCCTCTCAACTGCTTCTGGATTTTTAACCCCCCTGTATGTTGTCTGAAAAACAGAGAGAGGAATATGCTCAAGCACTAACAGGCAAAAAAAAAGGAGTATCTTGTTTGTTAAAAATATGTACAAGCAGTCATAAAAACATGCATGTCTTTCCAACGGTATTTTGAATCAATTATTTTATCACAACCTTTAAAAAAAAAAAAAAAAAAGCACACGGCATCTAGCAAAAGGGCATTCAACTGCCAAAAAAGACATTTAAGATACAGGATGGAGCAGCTGACTGTAACGTGACTGTGGGTTAGGGCTCGATGCTTTCTTCTGCGGCAGTAAAAGTGTGAATTATCAGGGTGTCAGGAGATTTAAAGATGAAAACGGTGACTTGGAGCAGAAAGAAGTGGTGGAGATATCAGCCAATCCAAAAGATTCACCTGGCCAAGAACAGTTTTCATTCTGGTCAACGTCTACTCACCTTGATACAACTTTAGCATGGCTCTTACGGGTGTGCAAGTGGCTTTTCTGCACAATAGAAAAATCACTCACCACTCTGTCAAGTGCATCTACCTTCAATGGGGTGTATATATTTAACATAATGCTACAAAGTTACCAGATTATTAGGTACATCTAGCTAAACTAATGCAGCAGGGCTGTAACTAACAATCAGCTCACTTGTCCTTCATTTTAATTAATTAATTAATTAATTAGTTGTTTGGCCCTTAAAAAGGTGAAAATGGTGAAAAATGACATCCACAACCCAGTTTACTCTCATAAAGGACTGAGGAAACTATTCACATTTAAGAAGCTAAAAATCACACAAGGAAATGATTAATCTATTATCAAACTAGTTGGTGATTAATTTAATAGTAGTTTAATGTTAGAAACACAATAATACACGAAACAACATAAATCCCTCATGATGGTAGGATGTATTGCATTAAACAGCCCCACTAGAAGACATTAGTTTTAGTTATAGCACCAAATAATCTAGCAAATGTATTAACTATTAACTTAACACACTATTTTGACAGTTTTACACAACAAACAGACAACCCCCCAAAAAAACTAACGTTATATTAAAATAAATGACCTCTTTTTGTCTCTTCTCGGCGGCCTCAGCTAACTGTCGTCTTCTTGTATCCTGTAAAAACACAAAAACAAACACAGAAAACTTGTAAGCTGTAAATGAAAGCAGCCTGTCTCCTCTCAGTGAACTGCGGCCCTGCAGCAGACTCAACATGCCTCCTCTGTTTACACAGGCTCAACACGGTCAACGCCCTGTTGTATGGACACATGGTTATTATCACATTCATATGCCATACAGAATAGGGACCCCCCCCGCCAGCACCACACACACTATGACTTTACCTGGTGATAAAAACTTTTAGTAAATCAACTCACCGGATCTGGAGTGACAACAACGTCGTCCGCTGCTCCACCAAGGCACGGTAAGCACATCCCCATACTGTGGTCGTTGTGTGCGGGGCAGAAAAAAGCAGCGTAGAAAATGAGTTATATCTGTGTCTCGGGTTAGTTAACTAGGCAGCTACACTGTCTAACCAGCTGACAGGCCAGTTTCAAATAGCTGCGCTGATAGTTCAGGCAACAGAAGCAGCAGCTTCTCCTCCCAGCGGCTGCTGACGGGTCGTCTGACATACCGTTAGCGACCGTTAGCGACCGTTACCGTCAGCTA